ATAAAAAATAAATTATATAAAATGCATCATAATTGTCAAAAACATTAAACAAGTTTGGATATTTTTATATGTTTATTCCAATACAGATTGCTATACAATCTTCTTTAATGCTGGTAACATACAGTACCAGTCAGAAGTTGGTACCTGCTTGAAACCGGGTTTTTCATGCTTATCTGTGCTTTCAACTGTATAACCTTGTCTATAAACACTTAATATTTAATTACATTATGTACTTATAATCTTAAGTGAACTGCATTGAAAATGTTAATTTTTCATTTTCAGTAAAATGAACACCCAAAGCAAGCACATTTCAGTCTGATACCCAGGTTAGTTAAAAGTCAGAAATGTGTATAAAATGGTGTTAGAACACTAAAAAAAGTTTAAAATTGTCTTTGTTAGATGTTCTCACAGTTAACTAGCATGTTACCTCATTGACCTTTTGTCACTAATTATTGGTAAACAGGTGAAGGTCGACGATTACTATAAATATAGGGAGCATGGGAAACATTTTGTAATTCCTGAATGAACATGGCAAAATTTGCTCAGAAGGCAAGGAAAAAAGACAGTCTATAATTACTTTAAGAAATGAAGGTCAATCTTTAAGACAAATTGCAAGAACTTTGCAAGTGTCAGCTACTGCTGTGGCCAAGACTATCAAAAGATATGAAGAAACTGGCACTCATGAAGACGGAAAAGGGTCATGCAGGACAAGGGTGACCTCAGAATCAGAGAATACGTTCATTAGAGTCACAAGACTGCGAAACTAGTGACTAACTGCCCCTGAAATACATGCTGAGCTCAGTGCAACAGAAATACAGATGTTTCAACATCAACTGTTCAGAGGAGGTTGCGTGGAGCTGGCCTCAAAGTTCCAGTTTCTGTGTTTTTTGGCCCAGGCCAGTCTCTTCCTCTTATTCTGCACTCTTAACAATGGTTTCTTTGCAGCAGTTCTTCCTGGTAGTCCAGCTTCACTTAACGTAGCTGATTTGCTCATGAAAGTTTAATTTGCCTTTTCACGCAAGGCAGATACAGTACTAATAATCATGTTTTCATATATTTCTCTATTAGCTCATTTGTGTTGAAAGGGTTTGAAGTACTACAGAAGTAGATATCAGTGTATTTTACATTGTAAAGTGATTTTATTTAGATTAAATCTATTTGGAATCAGTATAAAAGGCAGGAATACACCTCTACTGTATATACTGTTATAATATGAAAATAAAGTATATGCAGAGATATATAATGTTTTTTTATTTCCATAAACAAATTATATTGTCATATTTTGTCAACCCTTAAAGGCTTCCTGAATCTGCAATCACTGTCCTAAAAAGCCAGCGCCTGAGGGAGAAACTCCTGCAGTCCTTGTTCCTTGACAAAGTTTACTGGGAGAGTCATGGAGGACGCCGAGGGATTGAAAAGCTGATTGACGTGATTGAGAGAAGGGTCAAGATCCTGCTAACATATGCCAATGCACATGGAATCAAAGTCACACCTATGAATGAGTGAGAACATCTGAAGTGGACACATGGAATGAATTGCTGTCCATAATTATTCTGACAATTATTAAGTTTGTACAGAGTATTGCATTTGGGTGTCGACATCTACACGGTATGTAAACAATGTAAATTACAAGGCCAATTAACATTAAATGTATCCAAAGTGAATGCATTCCATGCTGTAAAATATGAGCATTTTTCAAAAGAGAAAAGAAAAGTTATGTGCCAGAATAATCCAATGTGAATGTAGCTTTCATTCACAAAATATTATTCCCTGCATTTGGTAGCATACAGTATGTTTGTGGTTTAGAATGACTCATTCCTTTCATTTCAAGAGAATCTTCCACTTAGTCTTGCAACTATTGATTAAGATTTTTAAATGTTATATTTATTATAATACTACTGCCTTTTGTACTGTGACTAAAACTTAATATTTTTCATTGATGTTGCCTTTTTTATTTGTCATTTTGCAGAGGAAAAGTTTGGAAAACAGAACTATGTTTAGAGTATGAAAAATTAGATCCAAACATAGCTCTTGAAATATGCATAGAATGTTATTTTCTTTAGAAATGAATCCAACTAAGCAAAGTTTACTTGGAGAGAATACTGTCTCCTAAAATAAGATTTTTCTGTATTATCTAATATATGTTTTCTAAGTTTCCAATAAGATTTTTTTATGATCACAATTTGTTGTTTTGTTTAATAAAATGCATGTTTTATGAAATGGTAATTTAGAAAATATTCCACTTGATTAAGTATTTTGGCAACAAAAGTATTTTATTAAACAACTTGTGTAACTATTTGTAATATGCAAACTTACAAGCTTAGAAAATAAGTCTGTTGGTTGCTGATTTTTTAGTCTACCATGTGTCATTAGAGTGAGCAAGACCATTTGTTGTTTTAACCCCTTTAGATGTGTATTTACATAGAGTTGTCTATTGATCTTCCCTGCATGTTTTTTTAGGAAGGCCTCTTTTCAGAAAAGCTGTGCTGAGACCATATTTTTCTCATAGTCACACATTTTTGGGGTCATTTCAGTAGACACAGGGATCTGCCAGGGCTGTATTATTGACTTTATTTAAGTAGAAACCTGCCAAGAGCTTACTGTATACAGTATATCTAACTTATTTTTTATGCAAATTAATTTATAAGCACCAAAAACATGTATTTTTAACACGTGAATCAGCTTTGATTTAAACACAGCATCTATTACACCTGTTGCATTCATTAACCTATTGCAATTATTATGAATCAATGCACTCTTTAATCATAAACTCTTTAAGCACAAGAGAATTAACAAAAAGACTACTTTACTAGAATTATCTTTTCAATTTAAATATATTCTTTACTCTTTAAAGTGACTTAGATTATTCAAAATGTCTTCTCAAGTCAGAAGCACTGTGCAGCTAATGAACTAGTGCAACCAGTCAAGATACTGTTTTTATTAGAACTGATGTTTATAGATGTTAAGGCTGTGGAAAACAGGGTCAGGCAAGGGGACCAGACACAACAAAGGTGTGAAGGGACAAACTTTTTTTCATTATGTCTAATGTCGCGCTGTTTATGTCTTGATATACAGTATACTGCCTAATAAACTTTTTATAGCATCTGCAAATAAAATTTAATAATTTCATCATTATAGTGTATCTTTTATTTCATTTTAGTGTATACTTTATTATACTATATTATACTTTATTACATACTGCAATAATATATTATATACATATCTATTAAATTATTATTGTAAGAGACAATGACTAGACTAGAAAGTGAAATGATGTAAAGGCGTGTTTGAACAGCCAAACATGCAAGGAAGTAGACCTTGTGCAGAAACCAACAGACTAGGAGTGCGAATAGAAACCAGATGACGAAATCCAAAAACAGTACAAGAAAAGGCAGAATTCGGGAGCCGTGAAGGCAAAAGAAATAACACAAAGCAGGGGAAAGGAAACTAAGAATAACTAGGAGAAAACAAGGAGAAACCAAGAACAAAAAAATAAACAGGCCTGAAATAGAACAGGAGAAAGATAAGAAACAGGACATTAGGTTCAGGAAAAAAACAGCAAGTGAGGTCCAGCACTCCAGATGTATAGAAAACTAGGCACTGAAGGGAATGAGAGCTCGGGGTTTATAGAGCTGAAGGTGGAAGGCTTGGAGCCCTGGGTGCACTGGTCAATTTGTAATTGGTTACAGCCATCTACGTGGTATGCGCGTCAGCTGCGCAGCTCGGCTAGCAGCCAGGGCTTGAGTTGCCCTCCGGTAGCAAGAAGATGGAATTGTGACAATTATACAAATGGTTGTATAATACTAGGTTAATTATAAAAGATTTGGACACTGGGATAAACTAATAAAGTAAAAAGGGATCATATGTCAATTAAAGTCTATTATTTTCTATTTTCATTTTAATTTAATTCAGTGAAATAATTATTTCCACAAAATATAGTAATGTATGTTTATTAACTAAATCAACTTAATTATTACTAACAAGGATTATTGAAATACATTTTGAGGCAGTATCCTTGATGAATAAGTATAGTTAATCAAAACAAAATTGAATGAATAATGAATGGTCATGTTTCAGATGTAGTTTCCTAAGACAAATATACTGTAAGTGAAATATGTTAGGTATGAAATCAATTCAATTTAGAGGAAATTCACTTATAAATAATCTTAAATAGAAAAGATTCAACCAAATATATGACACTACTGTATTTAGTCTGTGTTTGGGCTTCAAATTAAATTCTGTAGCGCTTCATTGAAGCAAATAATAACACAATGCATACCATGTTCCATGTGATTAATTTACTAATATGGAATGTTTAAAACACACCTACTGTAATACCCAAAGGCGAAACAGCAAATAAATAAAACCTAAAATTCACTTTTCCTATATACAGTACACACCTGCTGCAGAGATTGTTATTAAACACATAATGTTTCTTATGTACAACTTTTTGTAATAGAACTCTGAATTGTGTTAACTAAATTTAGCCACATTTGATTTTATCTTGCATAAAGAATTAAACTGGGCAAAGACAACAAATATTTGTATCACTCGAACTTTCAGGGGTTCTTTAAGAACTTATTTTGAATACAGTAGAAGAAAAGTGCAGTAGAAATAGTGCATATTTGTTAATGTCATCAATATTTCAAATAAAATATAAAAATGTGTAAATATTTCAGTGATATATGCAGGGAAACAGGATAACATCATATCTGTCTTATATCAAGGGACTGGAAATCCTCAGCCCACCCCACTTAGGAAATTCCAAATGTGTCACTTCATGGCAACATTCTGTTTGCTAGAGGCTTCCTACAGTATATCCACCCAGTGGAGAGTTGCCATTAGGTATTATTAGGTTTTTAATTTGCAATTGGCAGGTACTTCAAAGTTTGGATTTTATCCACACCATGATGAATGTCAGGTCTTACACAATATCATGCAGCAGATAAACAAGATATGGCACACCATTTGATCCAAACCAGTTCCCAGAAATGCAAATTCTGCCAAATCAACAATTATACAATTCCATTGTAAAAGATGAATGAGCTCTAACATTATAAGTAGAGGTCTATAAAATGCTCTATAAAATTAAACTCTATAAAAATATTCCAATATAAAGTACTGGAAAAAAATGCCTAACTAAAAAAGGACAAGAAGAGCACTTTCCCAACACTCAGCAATATTTTTCAGTACATCGAAAAATGTTCCAAATGTACAAAATAATAGATATCTTTTATGCACTAATATATACATGCATGACATGATAATCTACTGTATATGGAAAACCATGTAATACATGTCCCGACAATATAGTCAATGTACTGTAAGTCAATTAAACACGATACACAATAAAAAACATGATGCAATACTTTATTCCTTTATTCAATTGATCAATACATCTTGAGAATAAAATACAATTATTATATAAATTATTATCTCATTTTTTAATTTTATTGGATTTCATACTTCTTTTATATATCTTTTTACTTCATGATTCTACTTTTACAGACCCACCTACACTGTACTGTGAATAAGGAGGGAAACAGATCTGAACACATTAAAAACTCACAACCCAAATACTGAGCAGTGCAGGAGGTCTTATTTCACCATAAGTTTCCTTTTAAATACTTCAAAGAAGCTCCTCTACCCCTAGACCATTACAAAAATCTAACCATACCTACCACAGGGCCTTTATAGATCCAAAATCCTCACATATTTAGCCCCATGCGACAATATGTACTGTAAACAGTACTGTATACTGCAACTAATCTAATTAATTAACTAATTACCATCCAGTTTGTGTATTTAGAAATGATAGAGGACTTTGATGGCCTCTGTTGGCAACTTGGCAGCCATTAGAGCCCCTTCCAAGACCAGCCTACCACAATTGTTTTCTGTGATCAACTATTCACAGTCCTTCACTATTCATTAAAAATATATTACTGAGTTTACTCATTGATTACTTTTATCTTGGAGCAACTCAAAAATTTTAGTCTGATTCTGCTTGTCTAGTTTCCCTGGAGCCAGATGACAATCCTAACAAGAAACGTGAACATGAAGGTTGCTAATTATGAATTAATTAGAAATTACAGTGCCTTGCGAAAGTATTCGGCCCCCTTGAACTTTTCAGCCTTTTGCCACATTTCAGGCTTCAAACATAAAGATATAATTTTTTTATTTTATGTGAAGAATCACCAACAAGTGGGACACAATTGTGAAGTGGAACGAAATCTATTGGATTTTTGAAACTTTTTTAACTAATAAAAAAATGAAAAGTGGGGCGTGCAAAATTATTCGGCCCCTTTACTTTCAGTGCAGCAAACTCACTCCAGAAGTTCAGCGAGGATCTCTGAATGATCCAATGTTGTCCTAAATGACTGATGGTGATAAATAGAATCCACCTGTGTGTAATCAAGTCTCTGTATAAATGCACCTGCTCTGTGATAGTCTCAAGGTTCTGTTGAAAGCGCAGAGAGCATCATGAAGACCAAGGAACACACCAGGCAGGTCCATAATACTGTTGTGGAGAAGTTTAAAGCCGGATTTGGATACAAAAAGATTTCCCAAGCTTCAAACATCCCAAGGAGCACTGTGCAAGCGATCATCTTGAAATGGAAGGAGTATCAGACCACTGCAAATCTACCAAGACCTGGCCGTCCCTCTAAACTTTCAGCTCAGACAAGGAGAAGACTGATCAGAGATGCAGCCAAGAGGCCCATGATCACTCTGGATGAACTGCAGAGAACTACAGCTGAGGTGGGAGAGTCTGTCCATAGGACAACAATCAGTCTTACACTGCACAAATCTGGCCTTTATGGAAGAGTGGCAAGAAGAAAGCCATTTCTCAAAGATATCCATAAAAAGTCTCGTCTAAAGTTTGCCACAAGCCACCTGGGAGACACCCCAAACATGTGGAAGAAGGTGCTCTGGTCAGATGAAACCAAAATCGAACTTTTTGGCCACAATGCAAAACGATATGTTTGGCGTAAAAGCAACACAGCTCATCACCCTCAACACACCATCCCCACTGTCAAACATGGTGGTGGCAGCATCATGGTTTGGGCCTGCTTTTCTTCAGCAGGGACAGGGAAGATGGTTAAAATTGAGGGGAAGATGGATGCAGCCAAATACAGGACCATTCTGGATGAAAACCTGTTGGAGTCTGCAAAAGACCTGAAACTGGGATGGAGATTTATCTTCCAACAAGACAATGATCCCAAACATACAGCAAAATCTACAAAGCAATGGTTCACAAATAAACGTATCCAGGTGTTTGAATGGCCAAGTCAAAGTCCAGACCTGAATCCAATCGAGAATCTGTGGAAAGAGCTGAAAACTGCTGTTCACAAACGCTCTCCATCCAACCTCACTGAGCTCGAGCTGTTTTGCAAGGAAGAATGGGCAAGAATTTCAGTCTCTCGATGTGCAAAACTGATAGAGACATACCCCAAGCGACTTGCAGCTGTAATCGCAGCAAAAGGTGGCTCTACAAAGTATTAACGCAAGGGGGCCGAATAATATTGCACGCCCCAATTTTCATTTTTTTATTAGTTAAAAAAGTTTCAAAAATCCAATAGATTACGTTCCACTTCACAATTGTGTCCCACTTGTTGGTGATTCTTCACATAAAATAAAAAATTTATATCTTTATGTTTGAAGCCTGAAATGTGGCAAAAGGTTGAAAAGTTCAAGGGGGCCGAATACTTTCGCAAGGCACTGTATATAATGTGGTTTACAATAATAGCATTAGTTTATATTTTTGTAAAAATATTGGTGACTTCATATTTCTAATAATTTATTTAAAATTACCCTTAATTATTAGAACTATTTTGAGATCTGCGACTGGAGCTTAAGTACTCCTGAATGCTTTTAGTTGATGTCAGACACACTCTCTCTCTCACATAGCAGCATGTAGGCAGTGACTGAAAGACGATTTGTCCACATACTGTACACATTTTTCTCCTTGTCCAAAGGTCAATTGCAGTTCTACTGGGTAGTGTAGTTTTCAGATGATAACATATTTGGCAAGTCAGTGAATTACAGTATACTGTAAGTATTAGATTGGGCAAATTAGGTTGGCCCATATATTAGTGCCAACTGGGGAGATAAGATAGGCCTGTGCATTAT